CGTGAGACATCCTCCTAACGTGAGACCCGACGTGTTCAGGGTTGTCCTCATATTCTTCACAACGACAGCTCCGCTCTAGACTTCCTCCAACAATTGGCTTCGGAACTCCTCTCCAACTGCAGCCGCAAGGTGTGGAACACGCTCCTGCGCCACACAATCACACGCACACGCACACACAAACACGCACACACACACACATACACACACATACACACACATACACACACACACACACACACACACACGCATCGCAAGGTGCGGCAAGCCCACCTGAGCTCGCTCGATTGCGATTCCGCTGTTGCACCTGCTTCCCAATTGCCCCCTGGTGATCCTCAGTATGCTCTTTCTCTCCGTGCTCCTCTGTTTCTCCATCTCCTTCCTCCTCCTCCGTCTCCTCCTCCTCGGGTCCAGCTTCATATCTCCTCCTGCTAACTTCCTGCCATGCTTGCACGCACCACGCGTGTATATAGACATATGTGTGTATATATAATGTACTCAAGAATTGAAGGCTCGCTTTGCTTCGCTTCAATCTTGGTCCGCGTGAGCGCGTGGGCACGTGAGTGCGAGGAGTGCGCGCCAGAGCGGGCAAGCGAGCGCGTGAGCAAGCGAGGGGGAGGGAGAACGAGGAGGGAAAAAGCAGAATGAGCGACGGCTCTGACCGAAGGCCGACAGCTACGTCCACAGGGCGGCGTCGGCACATCGACGGGCTGGCGGCTCGAAGGATCCGGCAGCTGGATGCGCGGGCGCTCCGTGGGCCTAGTGTTATGTCGGGCCTGTCCCCCTACAGGGAGATTTTCGACGAAAAATCAAAAATACCAACAAAAATACGCCCCAAATGTCAAACAATACTAAAACATAGTCCCCAGACTATCTTTGTTTGGACTATTTTTTGATTACGTCCCCGTTACGAAAGTTAATTCATCTTGGCTAACATTGACATGTGTGGGCGCTGTGGTGGGAAGTGGTATGGGAGTGATTCTTCCTTGTGGTTTCATACGGGGAGAGATTCAGAATTGCCTGGAAGTGACCCGGAGTGATTTCTCCCCTGTGAATTTACGGGGGAGAGATTTTATCCTGAATTGGTTATATACTATCAATGTTACCAGGGAGAACCACGGAAATCTCTCCCGCCGAGCCAGACCGAAGACTGCCGTGCTAGGAGTCTACGGGGGGAAGGGGGGGCCACTCGGAGACGCCCTAGTCGTCAGTGCTCAAGATGAATAACTTTCGTAACGGGTAAGCGGTATCTTACATTGCACTTCTACAAGGGCGATGCCAGCGCTACCCCTTGACAGCCGCGCCTTTGGCCGCCACAACGCGCCTGCACGTGCCCCGCCCAAGGCGGGGCTCGAAATCGGGACAACTCTGATGCGCAGTAAGTCGTCGCAGCGAAGCAGCGGCGGCAATGATGATGGCGACGTGTCTATCGAGCGCGATGCTGGGCTCCGTTCGGATTTCGAATTTGGGTTCCTCATGACATCGGCTGACATCGACGTGTGAAACAGTCCTGGGTCCAGCGGTATATTACATTGCACTTCTACAAGGGCGAGACCAGAGCTACTCCTTGACAGCCGCGCCTTTGGCCGCCACAACGCGCCTGCACGTGCCCCGCCCAAGGCGGGGCTCGAAATCGGGACAACTCTGATGCGCAGTAAGTCGTCGCAGCGAAGCAGCGGCGGCAATGATGATGGCGACGTGTCTATCGGGCGCGATGCTGGGCCCCGTTCGGATTTCGAATTTGGGTTCCTCATGACATCGGCTGACATCGACGTGTGAAACAGTCCTGGGTCCTCATCCCCGTTACGAAAGTTAATTCATCTTGGCTAACATTGACATGTGTGGGCGCTGTGGTGAGAAGTGGTATGGGAGTGATTCTTCCTTGTGGTTTCATACGGGGAGAGATTCAGAGTTGCCTGGAAGTGACCCGGAGTGATTTCTCCCCTGTGAATTTACGGGGGAGAGATTTTATCCGGAATTGGTTATATACTATCAATGTTACCAGGGAGAACCACGGAAATCTCTCCCGCCGAGCCAGGACGAAGACTGCCGTGCTAGGAGTCTACGGGGGGAAGGGGGGGCCACTCGGAGACGCCCTCGTCGTCAGTGCTCAAGATGAATAACTTTCGTGACGGGTAAGTATGTTTGGAGTATTTTTTTTCTCGTCGAGAATCCCCCTGTAGGGGGACAGGCCCGACATAAGCCTAGTGTTACCTAGCGGCCCTCGGCGGTACCGTCGGCGGCGTGTGGCCAGTCGTCGGCGGTCTCCGGCGGCGCTCGGCGGCGGTCCGCGCGGCGCCACTGGCGCGGGGGCGACTGGAGCATCGCAGTCGGAAATACGATAGGAAGGCCCCAACTATACACCAACACCGATCCTGGCCCAGGATAACCCTGGGCCCAGGATCGGTGTATACGCCCTCCTGCCTTGCGCAAGAAGGCATATACACCGATCCTGGGCCCAGGGTGATCCTGGGCCAGGATCGGTGTTGGTGTATAGTTGGTGCCCTCCGATATGAGGCGAGGGAGACGCATGGGAGAGGAGGCAAGCGCCTCTGAACCCATTTGGGATGGGTCGGGAGCCTCCTGGGGAGTGCTTGGCGTGCTGCAGCCAGGCAGAGCGTCCGTGTCAGAATCATGCGGAAGCTTACGGAAATTGTATGTTGTTCGGGGTATTTTGTCAGTCTGCATTAGGGGCCCCTTGGACTGTTTGGGGGTCCCCTTGGGCCACAATGGGCACCTCATTGCCATCTTGGGGGACTCTTGGGCTGGGCTTGGTGCGGTCTGGGGCCTCGTTGGGCTCTACGGGGCTGTCTGGAGCCCTTTCGGGGGACCCTCTTGGGTTGTCTTTGTCCTGTTTGGCTCCCTGGGCAATTTTTGACGCCCTCTTGGACGCGTATTGCGCCATCTGGGGGCGATCTGGGAAGACCGAGACATTCAGTATACCAAAAACGCACCGGAACTTTACAGGACAACCTCCATCTGTTGCTTCCTGTGGGCCCCTGGGGAGCTCACCTCGGGCCACCTTGGACAGTCTTTGGAGTCTGCTGGGCTGTCTGCGTGCCATCTCGAGCGCTCCTGGGGCCCCCTTGGGGCAATCTTGAGCCGTCTTGGCGCGCTCGTGGGGCATCCATGGGCGCTGTCGTCTGCCCTGGGGCAGTCTGGAAGCCTTCCGGGCCGCTTGTGGAAGCCATCCGAGCCTGTCCTGGGAGCTCCCAGGACGGAAAAGACTAAATGGGCCCCCGTAAGGGATGCCTTTTCACCGGGGGGTCCATTATATTTTGTTCGGGATGAAGAATACGATTTGCAATAACATTACATCCTGCATGGAGAACCCCCCCAGGATGGGCTCCAGATCCTCCTTGAGAGCCCCCCAAGACGGCCCCAGAGGCGCCCAAAGCGGCATTAAGGACGTCTATGACGGCTCCAAGACGGCCCGAGAGCGTTCCAAGAGTGCCCGAGACTGCCTCAGAGCGTTCCACTGTGGCCCAAGATGGCCTCAAGACGGTACACTAAGAAGGTGGCCAAAGAGGCCCTCAAGGGGCGCCCCCCGAGAGCTTGAGAAGGCCTTCTGTCGCGTCCGACAGCGCAAGGCGACCCGAGAGGTCCAAAACAAAACCGCAAGGCGGCCCAAGAGGCCCCCAAGAGCGCCCGAAGTGGGTCCAGGCAGCCCCAAGACGGCCCCCAAAAGCCCCCCAAAGGCCCCCAAGAGATCTCCAAGATGCTCTTAAAATGTTTGCAACATGTTTCCTGTATCGTGCCAACAATACCAAACACCAGGTCCCCTAACGAAGTACGGGCAGTAGTGTGAGCCCTCGGGCCCCACGAAGACACAGTGACGGACACAGCTTCGACGCCAAAACCTCCCGACCTCAGACGGTCCAGCGACGTCCCTCCAGACTCTTCCAACGACCCACCCTCACCCTCACTTTCTTTCCTCCTCCTCCTCCCCGTCCGCATCCTCATCCTCCTCCTCCGCGACCTCCTCGTCTCCGCACCCGCCTCTTCCTTGGAACCCTCCACCCTCCGGACCCTCCTTGTCCTCCTCCTCCTCCTCCTCCTCCTGCTGCTCCTCATCTGCACCTCCTCCTCCTCCTCGTCCTCCTCCTCCTCCGCACCCTCCGCGCCCTCCTCCTGTTCCTCCTCCTCCTCCTCCGCACCCTCCTCCTCCCACGAATACCATCTTCACATGGCATGGATCTACGGACTCGCAGAAGGAGGGGAGGCCAAGGACGCCGCATGACTCGGCTACACGCAAGAGTGACCCTGGGCAAAGTGACATTTGGTGCGCGGAAAAAAGGGGGCGCAAGGTGGCCAAATCCAAGCGCGCAAGCGGCCGCTACCGCATCGCGCTCAACGATCGGGGGGTCTCGATAAGCCCGCACCAAAGTTCACTCCGGCGAAGGGCTACTCTCACATGTAGACGAATAATTCGGCATGACGGCACAGCAACTGACGTGTGATATCGGTTATATCATCTCCGAGAGGTGGGGGCTCTTCCCTCCAGTCCATCGGGAGCTCTTGCTGTTTCTCTGTCGGTCTGTCTGCCGGTCTCTGGCTGCCTGTCCGTCTGTCTGTCTGTCTGTGCGTCCGTATGTCTGTCTGTCTGTCTGTCCGTCCGTCCGTCCGTCCGTCCGTCCGTCCGTCTGTCCGTCTCTCTGTCTCTCTTTCGCTGTCTCTGTCTCTTTGTCGCTGTCTCTCTGTCTCTCTGTCTCTCTGTCTCTCTGTCGCTCTGTCTTTTGTCTGTTTGACTGTCTGTCAGTGTATCTGCCTGTCTGTCTGCCTGCCGTCTGTCTGTCTGCCTGTCTGTCTGCCTGCCAGTTTGTCTGTCTGTCTGTCTGTCTGTCTGTCTGTCAGTCTGCCTGTCTGTCTGTCTGGCTGTCTATCTGTCTGCCTGTGTGTCTCTGTATCTCTGTCTCTCTCTCTCTCTCTCTCCCTCTCTCACTACACACGCGGCAGCAGAGTCTATAATGGAAAGACGCGCCGCTGCCCCCACCCCTGAAGGCCTGCTCCGAGCGCCAGTTCACGAAATATGCCCGGAGCGTGGCATGCCGATTGCCGTTCAGCAAAGTGTGGAGCACCTGCGACGGCGCCGCACAAAGGGGAAGGTCCCAAGCCCCACCGCAGGGTGGCGCACGAGCAGTGTGGCCGCCAAGAAGATGCCGGGCGGGGCCCCGTCGCGCTGGACACCGAGTCTGTGCGGCTCGAAGAATCCAAGGTAATAGTGCGGTCGGGTGATCTGGCTGCGATTGGTCACCACGTTGCGAATGTTACGAGCCGTTGGGGAGCACTAAGCACAACCAAACCAAACAAGAAAACAGCCAAACCCAAAAACAGTTGCTTGAAGTTGCTGCCTGGGGAGTGTTCCTGGGAGGAGCGCCGAAGGGAAAACGGAGAGGGGGACGGGCAGGGGGGGGGTGGGGGGGCCCAGTCCTGCTCGGAGGAGCGTGCCAAAACGATCGGCCCCGACTCGATCCGACTGGGCGGCGGGAAGAATCCCCGCAGCCTCGAGCTTGGCAGCCGATCGCCACACGCTGCGTGCACAACGCGTCCTGCAGTCGGCCACACGTAAGGAGCGAGCCCTGGCACGAGGAGACTTTTGGGGCGCGGTCTGCCGGGCCGTTGCGTGCAGTGCAGATGGCAGCGGCCCGCGCTGCTGGGTTTTGGCCCAGCAGCGCCCCCCGAAAGCCGTGCACCGAAGTGCACCCCAGCGGAGGGCCACTGTACCGACCTTGCAGACGTGCTGCAGCGGATTCTTGCGTGGATTCCTGTCAATGCAAAACCCGGAGACGGCGGGCGAAAAAGGATGTGAATTTCACGTGAATGGCTTGTAGTCTTCACTCCTGGCCGAAAAATCCGCACGATATTCACTTCGAAATCGGGAACGACATTCTCCAGGACAGTCTGGGCCCATCCCATGGTTTTCCGAACGACATCCGCTCTGTGATGTTGGCGCCATGACAAGGGTCGCTGTCACGCGCAGCCGTATCAATGGTTGCCGCTGGTCTGGCATCCGACGCATGTCCTCTTCCCACCTCCCGAGACAAGCGTCCGTCACAGTCAGGGTGTTTCCTCGAACGGATGCAAACGATGTGGAGCGCCCTGATCGGGCCAGGCTCCGCTGCCGCACGGGGGAAAACCCAAATATGTACCAATAGCGCGACTCCCTGGAAAACTCCCAGGCTGCGTTCTGACCAGGATTTCGAAGCGAGTCCAGAGGTGGCGACGGGGTTCCCCAGGAGGTCCCCCGAAAAAGGGAGCACGAAAGAAAGGCACCTGTATGGGTACTCTTGTCCTCCTCCGGATCACGGCCAGGATGTTCTTGCTCGAACCCGTGCGGATGATGTGGACCGCCCTGATCGGGTCATTGAGCAGGGACCGACCGTCCCGGCATTCCTATAGTCATATCACGAAATGTTCTTAGAACCCCAAAATGTTCTAAGAACAAACAAAAACGATGTTCTTAGAACACAAACCCGATGTGTTAAAACAGGACGGCCCCAGCCAGAACTGTTCTAAGAACATATTTCGTGTGAGCGACAAACAGGTTCTTAGAATATTGTTTCGTGGGGCTATAGGCGAGCCGGGGCGCTTCGCCACTGCTTGAGGTCAGGCGCCGCTACCATACGAGGTCGATGATGTGAGCCCTGCTCGCCCCTGGACGGCCGGGCTCGCCCCGCGCAGCCCCCGCCGCCGACGCGCCGCCGCGCGAGCGCGGCTGCACCGCTTTGCCGAGAGGTCGGGGAGGAAGGACCCCGCGCGAGCGGTGGGCCAAAAGTTGGCAGAACAGGGACGCGCGGTGGGGATGTCAAGGCCCTGGAAGGCCACGTCGACACTTCGCGGGCGGGGCGCAGCCGGCGAAAGCGGCCAATGTCATGATGATTAGCGCTGCTATGACGGTGTGGCCATGGTAACCATCTTCATACTAACGAACTGTCGTGATAATCGTGATCGTGATGATGCGACCCCATCCCCCCTCAGACTCGTAGCGAGGAGTCATTGCTGTTGCGGGGCGGGACTTGGTCCCATCCACGAATCGTTTGTTACATTATTTTTGCACAACAGAATGAATCAATATTCGCCCATAATTGTGAGTACCGCTATGTGGGTACCGCTTTCGGTGGAGCTCGCTGAGGCCATGAAACGCGTTAGTGGTGTGCCGTAATGGGTGGAGGAGACGTACGCGGCCGCGGACAGTGGAGCGGTCGGTGGAGCCCCCCTTTTGGGGCCACGAAGCAGCGCATTGGGTGGGGAAACCGCATGCGAACGCTTCGTCTGGAGCCTTCGGTGGAGCTCCTTGTGTGGGGCCACGAGACATGGTCCTGGGCGGGGCAGACGCCAGCGAACGTCGCCCCTGGGGCCGTCGACCGAGCTCCCTGTGGGGCCAGGAGGCGCTGCACCGGGTGTCGGGGGAACCGCGTGCGGACGTCGCCTCGATGGGCCTTCGATGAGGCTCCCCACGGGGGCCACGAGGCGCTGCACGCAGGTGGGTAAGAAGCGCATGCGAGGGTCGCCGTTGGGGCCGGCGGTGGAGCCAAGTATGGGGCCACAAGACGTGCGAGGGGCGTGTGGAAATGGGCGGGGGACCCGCGTGCGAACGCTACCGCTGGGGCCCTCGGTGGAGTTCCCTCTGGGGCGACGAAGCTCTGTACTGACTACCTCCCAGACCACCCTAACCCAACCCGAAGACCCGAATTTCGGGTTGGGGGGGGTAAGGGTTCCACATGTGTTTTTTCGACGTTTCCCGACCCCCCCCCCTCTGGAAATCGAGGGTAAATCTGAGCCTTCGGGTTGGGTTGGGGTGGTTTGGCGGGTGGTGATGTACTGGGTGGGGGAAGCGCACGCGAATGCTCTCTCATGGGCCTACGGTGGATCTCCCTGAGGGGCCACGAAACGTTGCACTGTGCGGGAGAACCACATGCCAGCGCTCCCTGTGGGGGGGGCCTTCGGCGGATCGCTCTGTGGGGTCACGAGGCGCTGCACTGGGCGGGGAGACTGCATTGGAACGCTCCCTCGGGGGCCTTCGGTAGAGCTTCCTGTGGGGCCACGAAGCGCTGCACTGGGCGGGGGGACAGCATGCGAACGCTCCCTCCGGGACCTCCGGTGGAGCTCCCTATGCCCTATGGGGCCCCGAAGCGCTGCCCTAAATGGGGGATCGCATGCGAACGCTACCTCTGGGACATCCTGTGGAAGCCCCCTATGGGGCCACGAGGCGCTGCAGTGGACGGGGGAAAAACAATGCGAGCGCTCCCTCTGGGGCCTTCGGCGGAGCTCCCGACGGGCCCAGAACGCTGCACTGCGGAGCTCCCTGTGGCCACGAGGCGCGTGAGGGATGTGGCTAAATTTGACATGCGGAGGGCAGGGGCAAGGATGCCGAGGAGGGAGAAGGGGCAGCGGGAGGAGGAGGAGAACGATAATGAGGAAGAGGAGGAGGAGAAGGGGGGAGCAGGAGGAGGAGGAGGAAGAGGAGGAGGGACGCAGGGCGCTGTCTCTTCAGAACGAGGAGGTGGGCGGGGAGACATGGTAGGGCCACATCCCACGCACCCCGTCAACTTCCGTCCCGCGGTCGAGAAAGTCCGAGCCGAGTGGCATTTCCAAAGAAACTGTACTTCCACTGGTGACTGTGGAAAAGCTCTATACATACACGCAAATGTACCACATACTTGCGTAGCACGGAATGGTGCACCATCGGACGTAGCACGGTGTTTTGCATACATCAAAAAGGCTGCTAGCTATCATAGACGGCGGCGCAGACGGCGGCGACAGAAACGCCGAAGATGCCCTCGACGACGGCGATGACGCCGACGGCGACGGCCTCGACGACGACGGCGATCTCGCCAACCGACGCACGGCGAAGACGACGACGACGGTGTCGACGGCGACCGCCGACGACTTTGACAACGATGGTGGCGACGACGTCGCTGACGTCGTCGGCGGGGACGACGACGACGACGACGACGACGACGACGACGACGACGGCGACGACGTGGGCGCCGACGAGGCCGAGAGAGTGGCTGGAGCTCTGGCGCGGGCGCCTGACAGGCGCTCCTCGACTTCGCCGCGGCAGCCTGGACGCGCCGCGCCCGGGGTCGGTCACGTCCTTTCCTCCTTACCCTGCCGTTCCTCCTCCCCCTCGTCCTCCTCCTCCTCCTCCTTCTCCTCCTCCTCCTCCTTTCCCCCCTCCCCTTCGCCCTTCGCCTCGCCCCTCCCTCTTCTCCTTCTCCTGCCCCTCCTCCTCCCCCTCCCTTCTCTTCCTCCTCTTCCTCCCGCTGCTCCCCCCGCTCCTCCAACTCCTCGGCCTCATCCTCCCCCTCCCCCTCCCCTCCCCTCCCCCTCCTCCTCCCCCTCCTCCTCCCTCCTCCTCCTCCTCCTCCCTCCTCCTCCTCCTCCTCCCCCTCCTTTTCCTCCTCCTCCTCCCCCTCCTTTTCCTCCTCCTCCTCTTCCTCGTCGTCCTCCTCCTCCTCCTCCTCTTCCTCCTCCTTCCCCTCCTCCATTCCTTTTCCTTATGCATACTTTCTCCCTGTCGCACCCCGGGCCCATCTATTAGGGCGGGCCGGGCGCTTCGCCTGAGAAGTCCTCACCATTTACGACCCCGAAGCTTAAACCATGACAGCAATTTCACAAATGGAGGACGGGTCGTTTTCAACATGTGGCTCTCGCCTTAGCGCCGCGCACATTCGTCTTAAGCAGTTGCACAAGGTTCACTGATTGAGGGAGGCTGGTTTTCAAAGTGAGGCTCCCGCCTCAGCACCGCGCACATTCGTTTTAAACATTTTCAGGGGGTTCAGAGATTGAGGGCGGTTCCTTTTCAACATGTGGTTCTCGCCGTAGCGCCGCGCACATTCGTTTTTGTCTCGCATGTTTAACAAAAGCTGCAAGAGTGTGACGGATTCCCATGGTCAGCGTCCCAGAAATCGCGTTTTGGAAGGGTTCAGGATTATGAGGGTGCCACAGTTACATTGATTCGCGGTGTTGAAGTCCCGGGAGTGGCGTTCTGAAACGATTCAGGATCGTCAAGACGCAACACTCAAATTTATCCATGGCGTTGGATTCCCGAGAACAATGCTTTAGCATGCTTCAGGGTCTTCAAGGGGTTGTCTTCCGACGAGGCAATTCCCTCAGCGGAAATGACCCGTTGAAGCGGCCTGTTGATTACTCTTGGGTTAACACTATATCGTTGATGACTCTTGGGTTTACACTGGTCCTCCTCCTCCTCCTCCTCCTCCTCCTCCTCTTCTTCTTCCTCCTCCTCCTCGTCCTCCTCCACTCCTCCTCCTCGCAAGCTTGGCCAACAAGTCGGCGTGGAAACTGCCGAACCAATCTCGACCGGCCACTACATCGCCATAACTGAGGTCCCGGCGACCGATGGCGCACAATGCTCGCAAACACGACCTCCCCGCGACACTGGCCCCGAAGGTGGCGATGGCTCGGGAGGCGCTGAAGACCCCCACACACCGCCCTGGAAGCCTAGCAAGACACCGTCTTGCGTGGTCTGGGCGAGGTCATGCTCGCCTCATTCGCTCTAGTCATAAATGCGTAGATTCAGGCAATCAGAACTTTCCACCAATGAGAGGATGCCCGCAAAAAGCCTTGGCCCGAGGCAAATCCCGCAAGTTGCTTGCGCCTTGGCACTGCCAACTGGAGGGCATACCGGAATCCTTTTGGGGCAAAGAGCTGTGCTATACTGTTTGGGCCACTTTGGGCCCGCCCAGGGGCCAGCGCGTGGTCATTGGAACATCTCGGGGTCGCCCTTTGCCTACAGCTTGGGCCGCCCTGGGGTTGCCCTGCGGCCAGTAAGCAGCCACGTCAAGATCATGTGCGGATCGCTGGGCCCTCTTCGGGGTCGCATTCAGGGTACTGAGGGGCCGTTTCTCGCTTCGAGGCCATCTTGGAAGGGCACTGGGGTCGTGGAGCCGCCCTGGCGCGTTTCGAAGGAAGCTTGTGTAGGCGGTCGTCAAGTAGGCCACGATCGACAGCCTCAAAACTGAGGTGGGCCTCGACCTTCCCTCTCCTCCTCCCCCTCCTCCTCCTCCTCCTCATTCCCCTTGTCCTCCTCCCCCTTCTCACCCTCATACTCCTCATCCGTCGTGCCCCTCCCCCCTCCCTCCCCCTCCTCCCCCTCCTCCCCCTCCCCCCCTCCGTTCCTCTCCTTCCTCCCTCCTCCCCCTCCTCCTCCCCCTCCTCGTCCCCCTCCTCCTCCCCCACCTCCTCCCCCTTCTCCTTCTCCTCCTCCTTCCTGACCCTCCTCCTCTCTCCACCATTCCCCCTCCTCCCCTTCCCCCTCTCCTCTCCTTCCTTCTCCTCCTCCATTCCTTCACCTCAAATAATTTCTCCCAGTCGCACCTCGAGGCCAGTTTTTAGGGCGGACTGGGCGTTTCGCCTGAGACTTCCTTACCACTTATGACTCTGAAACTCTAAAGCTGGCAACAGTTTCACATATGGTGGGCGGGTCGTTTTCAACATGTGGCTCTCGCCCTAGCGCCGCGCACACTCGTCTGAAATATTTGCAAGAATTTCATTCCCATTAACAGCGAACCAGAAATGGAGTTCTGGAAGGATTCAGGCTTATGAGAATGCACAAGCTGTGCTGATTCGCAGCGTTCAAGTCCCAAGAAAGGCGTTCTGACGCGAGACAGGATTGTCAAGACTCAACACGTTGATCCGTGGCGATGGAATCCTGAAAGCAATGTTTTAGCATGCTTCCCAGTCTTCACACAGCTGTCTTCCAACGAGGCAGTTCCCTCAATACAAATGAACCGTTGCAGGGGCCTATGAAGAGGGAGCTTGGAGGGAGGGTGTATTCCAACATCGTTGATGCCTCTTGGGTTTCCTCTGGGCCTCCTCCTCCTCCTCCTCCTCCTCCTCCTCCTCCTTCTCCCCCCCCCCTCCGCCTCCCCCCAATTACTCAATATGAATACTACTCTCCCTCTTCCCCCGATGGCGGCCTGAAAGTAGCCGACCCCCCCCCCCGCGTACTGTTTTTTTACACACAGGATTCCCGGGAGTTGGGTTTTCGCCTGCGTTTTTTTTTCAAAAACGCTGCTCTCGCTGAGGCGCCGGCCTCATTTCTGCTCCCGAATCGTTCCGAATCGTGCTCCCGCTGCAGCGTGGGCCTCATTTTCGGATCGGGGTTTGGCCTCCGTCGTTCAGGATGGCGTTCTCGCCCCAACGCGGACATCTTTCTCGCGCGCCCATCCGCCCGCCACCACCGCGCCGCACCACCACCACCACCACCACCACACACCACCACCACAACCACCACCAGCACCACCACCACCAGCACCACCAGCACCACTACCACCACCACCACCACCACCACCACCACCACCACCACCACCACCACCACCACCACACCACCACCACAACCACGCACACACGCACGCACGCACGCGCACCACCACCCACTACGCACGCGCGCGCGGAGCCACAGGTCCGCTACGACACGCGTCCGCGGATAGAGAAAATCAGCGCCATGGTAAGGGATGGGAGGGAGGGGTAGGACGTCAGATATGACGCGAGCGCACCCCAGCTTGCCCTCCCCCCTCCCCCCCCCTCCCCCTCCTCCCCCCCTCCTCCCCCTCCTCCTCCTCCTCCTCCTCCTACTCCTCCTACTCCTCCTCCCCCTCCTCCCCCTCCTTTTCCCTCCCCTCACCCTTCTCCTGAAGCGTGCGCCCCCACGAAGTGCGAACGCTCTCACGCCCCGTCGGTTGCCGCCGCGGAGCCGTCGGCCAGCGCCACGGTGGGCGGCAGCCTCGGGCGGCACTGCCGACGAGGCTGCAGCAGGGCCGCGTGGCGCGACGCGGCTCCCCGCCCGCCGAGCGTCACCTCCCGGAGCTGCTCGTGCGCCGACGCCGCGCCTCGGTGCAGCGCAGGGCCCTGCCGTACGAGACGCCTAGGGCAGTGCCGCGAGAGGAACTCTGTGCAACCGCGCCTCCCCTCTGGGGCCTCGGAGCCCCGAGCGGGGGTTGCGGCAGCAAGGGGGTGCCACCGTGGCGGGCGCGGCAGCGAGGCCTCCTCTTCCGCGCCGTCCCTGCCTTCGCTCGCTCTGGGCGGCCGCTCCGCCTCGTGCCGTTGAGCCGGCGTCGGGTCGGGCATGTTCTCCTACAGGTGGATCTTGGAGGAAAGAAATCAGCAAAAGTATGCCACAATAGCCAAACATAGTGGAAACATCGTCCCCGTACTATATTTGGGCGGTTTTTGAATATCCCCCCTGTAGTGGGACATGCCCGACTCAAAGAAACCGGCGGGCGCGCGCAGGGCGCGTTGAGAGAAGACCCTTCGGACCCGAGCATGGCGCCGGCTCCCAGAAGGCCACGGAAGGCCCAGCGCGGCTCGAGGACCGCGGACGTTTTCTTACTCGGCGTTTCGACATCGGGCGGAGGGGGGGGAAGGGAGAGGGGGGAGGAGGGGGGGGGTCTGGCTCCGGACCTCTGCTCAAAGCGCGACTGCCTGCAGCAGTGCGTCCTATTTGGGGAGGGACTCCACCTGCTCGAGAGAGGCGCCCCAAAAGCAGCCAAGATCCACTCCATGGGGGGCGGGGGAGGGGGGGCGGCTCGAGGATTTGATGGGCCCATTCCCCACCACCACTACCATATGTAGGAGGAGGAGGAAGAGGAGGAGGAAGAGGAGGAGGAGGAGGAGGAGAACCTCCTCATCCTCCCTTCTCCCACGTCCTACATAGGGTAGCGGTGGTGGAAAAAATTGCCCATCAGGACTGAAGGCCCGTGCGTCCGAGCGGCCTCGGCCCCGTCGAGCCCCTCCTCTGACGACGGCCGCCGGAGACCTTTTTGTTGAGCCTCTCTCTGGGGGCCTGCGCGGACCTCTCTTGGCGTCGTGCCTGGGCGACACGGGTACCACTGGCCCGCGCAAGCTCCCGGCGCCTCCGAGCGGAGCCTCAGTCCTCGATGCTTCCTCCTCAATCCTCAGCAGCTTCGCGACCTCCTCGATCCTCTGTCCTTCCTCCTCGATCTTCAATCCTCGATCCTTCTTTTCTTCCTCCTCCTCCTCCTCCTCCTCCTCCTCCTCCTCCCGGAGCCAGCGACGCCTGGAACAGGGCGAGCGCGAGCTCCTGGAAAAGATCTGGGCTCGCATCGGCGACGGTCGAATCATCGCAGAGCTGCTTTCGGCAACTATCGCCGTGGCCTCGGGCCAGAAGAGTTCACCCGAGCGAAACTACACACCACCGTGCTACGGCAGGTTCGTGTCGTGTCGACCCCGGCGTTGGTTCCCGACACCGCGGGGACTGCTCAACCTTGAACAATCGGTCGTTCTCGAAACGGGCCGCCGCTGGCGTTCAACGTTGAACGCCAGCGGCGGAGCCGCCGCAGGTCGACACGACGCGAACCTACCGTACACGCTGAGCGCTCCAGGGGCGCATGAGAGCAAGGGCAGTTGCGCGTTTGGCAGGCGCCCAGGGGGCGAGGGTACAGTCGGGCTGCTGAAAGAAGGAACGCTAGATAAGGAACGAAGCCCCTCTGCGGCTTCAGAAAAAAGCCTGGGTGTACGAGAAGGGCTAGAAGGAACAACCGCGGAAGGACGTAGGAAACATCGAGCCCCTTCCGAATCCAAACTGTTCCTTATGTCAACGTCTTGGCTGTACTCGCTGTGGGTCTGCGCAGCAGACCCCTCCGCTGGACCCACGCGCCCCCTACGGAGCAGGAAAGTGTGTGTATATATAGAGAGAAGAGAGAGACCTTGGTGCGCTCGACAGCGCCCGGGCGGGTGCGGGGGTGCTCTTCTGGGGTTGCGTCGGACGTCTCCACGTGGCCTCCCGCAACGTAAGGATTAGTTCTACAGTCGGGCCGCTGAAAGAAGGAACGCTGAAAAGGAACGAAGCCCCTCCTTGGCCCTGTAAGCGCCTCCGTGCTCCAGGAGGGCAAGAGGAACAGCACTGGAGGAACATAAGGAACACCGAGCCCCTCCCGAACCCAAACTGTTGCTTCTTTCAGCGTCCTGGCTGTAGTTTGGGCCTTGCACGGGCGGGGGCGAGGGTGATCTCTTGGGTACGCGCCAGACGTCACTCACGTGGACCCCCAGGGGCACCTGACCGTAGTGGAGACCGGCCATGTGGCGTTGGGCAGGCACGGGGGTGGGGGGAGTCACACATTGTTGCCCCCCCCCCCCCCGCTCGCAGAAGGAGGGCCCGCCCGGAAGCCTTGGCGACCGCCACGGCCTGCTGCCAGGCCCTCCACGCGGACATCAGCGCGCCCGTCCGCGAGCTGCCCAGGAACTTCTTCATGACGAGCGCCACGCCCTGATTGGCCTGCCCACCCAGACAGGACGAGGATTGGGCGAAGAATGAAGGGGAGGAGGACGAGAAGGAAGCGAATGAGAATGAGAATGTCGGTTCACTAAGTGAAGTCGAGAAGGAAGCGAATGAGGACGCGGAGGAGGAGGAGCAGGGGGGGAGAGACGAGTGGGGGCAGGAGCGGGAGGCAAGCAAGGAGAGCGTGACCGGGCACAGCGTGGAGGAAGGAGGAAGGGGGGAGGCCGAGGAGGGCCAGGGAGGAGGAGGCAGGAGGGAGGATCAGCGCATGGGAAGCTTCCGGAGAAAGGAGCGGGAGCGGGTGGAGGAACCAGGGGGGAGGGCAAGCTCGGCGCGCGCGCTCCGTATCTGACATGCCACCCATCCCCTCCAATCACTTACCATGGAATGGAGACACCCCCCGACTTGCAGTGGTTCAGCTCCTCCTCATCTCCAACCTCGCTCGCCAGCGCCCGCAGCAGCCGATTGGTCTGCATCTCGGCATATACACTCGGCACCGAGGGCAAGATGAGCACCACGCGTCGTCCATCCGCGACCACACGCCCAAGATGTACACGCCGCCCACTTGCGCTGGCTTGCCACCAGAGTGTCAACCCCGATATGCCATCTCGCGGGTGCTGCCCCGACCCCGCGATGGCCGCAGGGTGCAGTTGGCGGGGGCACGGGCGGCCGTGAGCCGTGCCGCGGCATGTTCTGGCGTTGTGCGGGCGTGGAGGTGTCGATCGTGCGGGTGCGTCGGGCAAGACCAGCTCCCTTCCCTGGCCAAGCCCTGCCGCCTGGCGAGGGCCCCTCGCCACTGGAGGACCTACGTGGGCCAGCCTCTGCGAGGACTGCAGCCCAGGGACGTCGCTGCCATGGGGCGTACAGATTGGATGCTGCTCCGCAACTGTTTTCATTCCTGGTTCCGGATTTCCTCCGTCCTCCCACCGAGTACTCCTCGTTGGTTCCAGGCCGCCGGCCCCGAGCCGAGCCCATCCCTTCCTTCCTGCCCCTCCATCACCCTTGACCATCCTGCCCTTCTCCGTCTGCGTCTTCATTGCGTTACTCCTCTCCCTCTTCCTTACCCGCCTAACATCCCCGACAGGCCTCCCGTGATCACCAGCCCGCCACACGCGCATCCCCCCCCCACCCACACACACACACACAATGGAGGCCCGCCTGACTGCCAAGCTGCCGCTGCATCATTCTCTTGGCCTCGTCGAGCTCCTCCATTGCGCAGCAATGCCCGCGGGAAGAGGAATAGGATGCTGCGGGGAAGGGTGGGGGGCAAGGAGGGCCACGATGAGGAGGCAAGACGGCAGAGGAGGACGGCTAAGGGGAGGATAAGACAAAGGATCAGAGGGGAAGTAAAGGAATGTGTACGAGTGCCTCCAACGGCGAACATATTCCAGGGAACCCTCGATATACCAAAGGCAATCAGGTTCTGAGCTGTCGTTCCTCCTTTCAGATTGCGCCTGTCAGATGTGCCCCGAACGCTATTAGGCACAGGCGCCCATGGCAGCCAGCATGTATCTCACCTGATCCTGGACGGCAGCCACGTCATCGCACGACAGCGCGTCTCCAGAAACGACACGGCCGCAACACTAGCCCAAAGGCGGCATCAGCATGGCTGCGGCCAGCTTCTATAAACGCCTCCATCACGTTAGGTCAGGCATGTGAGCCAGCTACGCGGAGGACTCTGAAACGCCACCAGCAGCTGCAATGCTCTCCGCATAATCTCAGACCTGGTAATCGACGCCGCCATGTTCCTGTCGTCCGCATCCTTCTCAACAGCCCCCAGGATGCCCCAAAGCAAATCCGAGACGGGCCAGGTACAATTCAATGCCAGCTCTGGGATGATACAGTATGGGCCGAGAGTGATAGAGAGAGAGGGAGAGAGAGGAAGAGAAAGACAGCTGGAGAGAGAAACAACAACAACAACAACAACAAAAACATCTATGTTTGTGTATATAGGTGTGCATATATGTATACATACATGTCAACCTATACGAGTGACAGTGACAGATCACACCCAAACAAAAGCATATTCCGAATTAGACGGCACCTCAATAATATACAGACAGTTGTAGACTATCTAATGATCGAGGGAAAGAGACGAGAAAGAGAGAGAGAGAGAGAGTGAGATATGAACAGCGAGGAGAGAGGAGGGAGAGAGAGAGAGAGAGAGAGACAACAAAAACAAATCATAAACCCAGACAAACATAACATGAAGACGAATGGGAGGAGGGGACACGAAATGGAGGAAGATAAAAAGGCCGACCATACACGCCCACGGCTGCAAAACTGCCGTCGGATGCTCCCAAGAGTATGCTGGCAGCGCCGGATAATTCCCCAGGCAGCGCGAGGCAGCAAAATATACCTCCACAGAGGACCCAAAACGTTCCCGCCCTTGAAACCTGCAAGCGCGGCCACGACCATATGACGACGGGAGCGTGTTCAGAAACTCACAAGACGCCACAGACTAGCAATCATGAAGATTCTCCGGGCTCGTGTGGCACAGTGAATTTAAGCGGTCATGGCGCGACTGAACTGGTCATGAGCATCACATCCGCGAAAGTAGTGTGCAATCGTTCCAGCGCGCTGGGCCCTAGAAGTCGCTTGGCTATGCAAATGGCTCTCCGCCGTGCCACATGGCCGAAGGCGCCTCAGCAGCCTCGCGGTCGTCGACACCACGGGGTAATCAGAAGCACAGACCCGCGGGCCAACAGCTGCAGGACATCTTGCGTGATCTGCAGGCGCCAGGGAACGACCAGACAGGCAGTCAGATGCCTGTATAGCTGGCCAGAAGCAGCGGCCGCGCTGGGTTGCCACCCGCAACATCGTGGTGGGAAGCAGGTCACCACCCGCAAAACACACACCTGCGGAACCAACGACGTCATGCTCTCGAAGTGTCCCTTGGCAGAAGTGACAGCATGAGACACGATATCCTAATAGCCTGCACAACTGTGAAAGGGGCCCAGGGACACACACGAATACACAAATGCCAGGATTTACCATAGTCTTCCCTACTTTCTGGGTGATCGCCTCCCCCCCTACTTCCCACAGTTTCCCATCTTTCCCTGGGGATCGACGATTCCTTGTGTCAGTGTGATTTTGTATTCCTTCCTGGAGCTGTGGCTCCCAGTAACCCTGGTCGCAAGAGCCGGGGAAGCGCACTTACGCGAATGGCCTCCAGCGCGGCGGGGCGGCGTCACGGCAGCGAGGGCGACGGCGGGGCACACGGTTGGCGCCAGGTTCCACCTGGCGAGTAGCGCACACACACAGATACACACACACACACGCAAACGCAAACGCAAACGCAAACGCAAACGCACACGCACACGCACACACGCACACACGCACACACGCACACACACACACACACACACACACACACACGCGCGCGCGCGCGCACACGCGCGCACACGCACGCACACAAGCACACACCCACACACACACACATACGCAGGCACAGGCACACGCGCGCGCGGACGCACGCGAGGTGCGTTCGGCCGCGCGCGAGGGAGGTCCTTCTGGCCGCGATGGGCCTGGCGCTGAAGCTGCTGCCGGGACACCTCCTGGGACGGGCGTTCTCTGCAACCTTCCTGTTCGTCCGCCTCTGCGTCCTCCCTCCGCATCATCCATCATCCCTCCTCCCCATCCTCCTCCTTCTCCTCCTCCTCCTCCTCCTCCTCCTCCTCCTCCTCCTCCTCCTCCTCCTCCTCCTCCCACCCTCTTTCTCCCTCCCCTTTTGTCTTGATCTCCGATGTCTCTCTCGCCTCTATCTCCCTCTCGATTATCCATCTCTCTAAAATAAATATGTGCACCTCGGTCTCCCTCTCTCTCTCATTCTCTGTTTCTCTCTCTCTCTCTCTTCTCGTCCCTGGTCCTTTCCCTCCTCACTCTTCTTCCTCGCTCGTTCTCTCTCTCTCTCTCTTTCGCCCCCTTTCCATCCTCTACGTATCGCGTGTTGAGTTGCTTGTTTTCTTTATGTAACTCTGCTTCTCTCTCTATCTCGTTCCCTCTGTCGGCTCTCTCTCTCTCTCTCTCCCCCTCTCTCAATATGTAGATACACGTATATACATATGCTTATCTCGTTCCCCTCCTGTCCGTTTCTTCTCGTCACCCTGCCTTCTCCTCCCTCCTCCTCCTCCCGCCTCCTCCCTCATTCCTCTTCCCGTTTCCTCTCCGCTCCTCCTCTTCATCGTCCTCTTGTTTGTCCTCCTGCTCCCTCGGCCTCCTTCTCCTCCTCCGCCTCCTCCTCCTCGTCTTCCTCGTCCTCCCCCTCCTCCTCGTCATCCACTCGCCTCTATAGCATCTTCCTTCTCCTCCTCTTCCTCCTCCCCCTCCTCCTCCTCCCTAAGCATCCTCATCATCCCTCCTCTTCATCCTCGTCTTGGTACTCCCTCCTTGTCGTCCTCATTATTCGTATTCCTCTTCCCCCTCCTTGTCCACACGACTGCTAGCCGCCGTTTCCTGCTCCAGCCCAATCTTTCGCGGCCCAGCGGGCACTCCACGCAGAGCAGCTTCCGCCCTCAGGGCACCTTCATGTCATGCCAGCGCGGCTGGCCATCCATATCTTTTCTCTCGTGATGTTCTAGGTGACATTCATGCGATGGGCCGTCTACAATCCGCTCAGCATGGTGGCGCAATTAAGAAGCATGGCGATTTCGCGACAGTCCAGTGCAGTGGACGTTGTCATGTTGCCAGCGACGAGATGGAGACAGCATGACACCTCCAGCGCCGTCGACCAGCTGCAGGCGTACAAGCACCGCATCTTCACCTGGGGGCACGGCCGCGGCCCGCTCACCAACAGCCACGCGGGGGTCGCCATCATGGTCAGCAACAGGTTCCGCATCAAGTGCATCACAGAGCTGCCTAGCCCACCTGCGAGTATACAAGGCCGTGCAGGAGCAGTGCGCATTCGGCGAGGAGCACTTGACATGATCTACATCGTCGCGTACATGCCGCCGCGATCGGGCCTCGCCAAGCAGCACAACGCGTGGGTCAAGACAGTCAACGAGACGCTCAAGTGGACCAACAAGACGCTCAACGCGACGCCTACGAGAAGCATGCCCAACCTTGGCCTCGACCTGAATGGCCACTACGGCCAGGACGGACTGATCCCCGCCACGCCCAGCAACGTGATCGGCGACGCGGGCCCCACGGGCATCCCAGGAGAAGCTGCAGCAGCATTCCACAACGTGCTCGACGTCCGCGGCATGTGCATCCTGAACACCTTCTGGAACGCAGGCCCCACGTACTTCGGAGCTCAAGGACAAGCCACGCGTCCAGACTACATCGCAGTACCACAAGGACTACGGGCCCACATCATCTCTTGCCGAGTCTGGTGGCGAGCAGCCAAAGCACTTCAACTCATCAACGACCACCTCCCGCGCGATCGCGCCCCGGTCATCGCAGCCGCCAACATCACCACCCCGAATGCGATCACCGAGCTGAAGCGGACCTCCTGATGGCGCAGGCACTGCAGACGGGCACGCGCCGCAAGGACTTCATCACCGCGCTGGAGACGAATTTCGGCCAGTACCAGGAGCAGCTGCAGGACCTCGCCAGCGACAACACCACGGACGAGCACTGTGAGCTCATCATTCGCACCCTGCCGGAGACAGCCAAGCCCTTCTTCGAGCGCCAGCAGCGCAAGCCCGAGAACTACCAAGAGCTCGTGGAGGAGAGGCTACGACTCCTACAAGAACGCGCCAAACTCAGGGAGGACTACATCAGCACCGCCGCCGGCTTCGACAAAGAGATCCCCATCGAAGCTCTCGCGCGCGCCCTTAAGCAGCAGAAGCGACTCCATGAGGCCGAACGGCGCCGCCAGCTTGAGGAGCTCATCTACGAGGCCTGGCAACGACGCGAGCATGCAGAAGTGCATCGACTGTCGCGACTTCTCGCAGGCACCAACTTCGGCAAGCGCAACCGCAACTACAGCCGCGCCACCAGAGCACGACCCAGCCTACAAGAATGGGCAGACCACATCGCACAAGACGGGCAGCATGGAGGGTTTCAATCACAGCCGATCAACCTCAGCGAGGAGAAGCGCATCCTGAAGGAGAGCACCTACGACTTCACAACCGAGCGCAATCAGCATATCCGACAGGAGCACGAGGACGCCAGGGACAATGTCAAGCGCGCCCTCTACGGAGTAACCAAGCGGCTCAAATACTTCAAGAAACGCGCCTCCGTGCCCGAGTGGTCGCTGCCCGCAGAGATCTCCCAGGTGATCCGAGCGCCCGCCAACGTCACCAAGCAGAAGTCAAAGAGGACAGGCGTGGGCTACGACGACGAGCTCGCCGAGGCACCCCTCACGCAGGAATGCTTCGAGTCAGTCCTCAACCACGTGTACCGAGTCGGCATTGCACCTCTCGACGCCCACCAAAGCCAGAGCTTCTTCCTGGACAAGCAGAACGGCAAGCCCAAGACGCTCGGCTTGCGCATCCTTCACATGCTCTGCCCTTTCTGGCGCTGCTTCTACCGCCACCTCCAGTGCAAGTCGAAGCCATGGTCCCGCCACCACATGCACACGGACGCTGGCCACATCGACGTCGTGAAGTACCTATGGCGGCCACGCGCATCGTTGCCTACCGACTCCAGCGGGCCAAAGCCGACTTCATCGCGGGCAGCAAGGACGCCGCCAACGCGTTCCCCAGCACCAACATCGACAAGGCCGCCAGCACTATACCGACCAACCTCAGCGCGACCGAGCAGCGCCTCTTTCACCAGAGGTTCCAATGCGCCAGCGTCCAGATCGACGGGTTCGATTCCACAGGTGACTATAGCATCGGCTCTGGGGCAATGCCAGGTTGCAGCACGGGCCCCACCCTATTCAACTTCGTCTACGAACAACCCGTGGGACAGTGGCTCGAGGACACCCCGCAGGACACCGCCCCCTTCGCGGCAGTCTCGCCGATCACGCGCGCCTGGACCTGTCCATCTACCTGATCGTGGACGACATCTTCAAGCTCCACCTCATTTCCACCGGCCTCGCGCGCGACGCAGCCCGCATCCTCGCCAGCAGCAGCGCCACCCTCGACAACTGCCTGGCCGAGTACGGGTTCCACCAGAACAGGGACAAGGAGGAGATCGTCGGAGGGCTGCGAACCAGGCGCGAAAACCGAGCACTAGCCGAACAAGTACAAGGACGAGTCCTCCGAACCCTCAAGCACCTCGGCGACCACTTCCACCCCGGCGGCAGCAACACCAGAAAGATCGACCAGCGCATCCAGAGCATTAGACGGGCTTGGCGCATCATGGGCAAGTTCTGGCACCGCAAGGTCTCATGGCGGCTCAAGCGCACCATCTTCATCAACCGCGTGGTCGGCGCCGCAGCCAGCGGCATGGAATCATACCTGCTCAAAGACACAGAATACAAGCGCCTCGACACAGTCATCGCCAAATTCATGCGATTGCTTATGAAGGGCAAAGCCACCACCATCGACGAGGCAGGCCATTACAACACCATGGCCAACGCCGAAGTCTTCCAGCACTGCCACATCTCCCCGATGTATATCGAGCTGAGGGTTCGCAGGCTGCGCATGATACAGGCCCCCGTCAAGTACCCACCAGACTACGACCAGTGGCTCACCGCACTGTTTGGGTCCATCAAGTTTGACAACGACTACAACCGCGAGCAGATCGGCAAGCTAGACGAGGACGGCCAACCCACCGCAGACGCGAACCCCATGGCAAAGCAGTACTACAATGATGTCTTCTCGGTTCTCGAGTTAGACAGCGCCGAGCAGTCCAGCTACATGTTATCATGAAGCAGAGGTTGCAGCGGCATTCATCAAGATCGACGTGGCGGAACTACGGGCCAGGGCACCCGCAGAAGCTATTCCACCTCCTGGTTTCGAGCCGCCAGAACCGCGCGATCTCGACGAACGAGCAGGAGACGAGCTGGGTTACTACAAATGTGACCTTCTCACGGAAGCAGGACAAGTCTGCGGCCGCAGTTTTTCGACGTGGACAGCGCTCTGAACACACCAGACCGCGACAAAAGGAGGAGAGCACGGGCTTCGATCAGCAGCAGCAGCAGTCACCATCACCAATCAGTGTCCACTATGCCGTACTACGTTCGTGGGTCGGGCCCAGACTGAAGATCATGTGTTGCGTGCGCTCAAGCACAAGCGCTGCATTGCCGACAACACCAGGCCTCATTACCCGTTGATGCCGATCGAGAACCCAGTTTGCTCCCTGTGCCCCAACATGCAGCCGTTTGCACATCTCTCAAGCTTCCAGGACCACGCCTGCGCGGCACACTTGCCAACTGAAGAGCATCACATTTCATTGGACATCGGACTGATCCAGGATGACGTGGTGTCTGCCTACGGAAAAGGACATCGAGGACGTGGCAAGCAGCATGGCGGACACGGAAAGCTCGAACGAGCACCAGAAGACTACGCACCTCAAGGGCAAGGGCGGCCACCACAAGAAAGGCGACAAGACCGAGGCGGCAAAGGACGAGGACGGGGACGCCACCATGCAGGACAAGGACGCGGACGACACCAAGGGCGAGGGCAGCCCAGCAGCCGCGGCAGCAGCAGGACAGAAAGTGCGCCGA